TGTTTGAAGTGACCTGGTCTTAATGATAATGTTCTTTCTTTCCCCAAGTCCAGCTAATATTTTTATTTTTCCCTCTTTCCACATTATTTATCAGTGCATTATAGTTATACATAATGATGGAATTTTTGGTTACACTTTAATACATGCACACAATAAAATAATGTAACTTGGCTAAAACTTCTCTCTTCCCTTCCTGTATCCCACCCACTCTTTGGTCCCTTTCCTCTACTGATCTCCATTGGTTTTTATAAGACCCCAGCACCTTCACCTTTCTCTTCCTTCTTCCTCTCTTGCTTACACATATGAAAGAAAATATATGACCCATGACCTTTAGAGTTTGGCCTATTTTGCTTAACGAAATGTCTCTAATTACATCTATTTTCCTGCAAACAACATAATTTCATTTTTTCCTTACAGCTCCAATATGTGTATAGACAACATTTTTTTATCCACTCATCCATTGATGGACACCTAGGCTGGTTCCATAATTTGGCTATTGTGAATTGTGCTGCTATAAACAGGGCATGCATGTATCACTGTAGTATGATGACTTTAATTCTTTAGGATAAATACCAAGGAGTGATATAGTCCAGATAATATTTCTACTGCTCCTTTGGCATACTGCACATGTGTGGACATATTTCCTACAGAAGAAAATTTCCTTTTAAGCAGCATAGCACACACAAAAAATCTGAAGTCATTTATTTATATTGACAACTTATTTTGGATAAAGACATTCTTTGATTGGATATCCAGTTCTTCACAAATTTTCTCTTCCTATAATAGCTTTGCCACTTCAATTACTGAGGGACATTTAGCTAGTTCTTAACAGATTCAGGACATAGCCCTGGCCTTTTCAGGTTCAAAACTCTTTATTATGTAGTAATCTTTGTGAGGTTATAGTAACAATATAGCATATTTACTATTTAAATATTGACCACAGAGATCTAGGTCTCAAGAGAACTTCCCTTTTAGTCTCAACTCTACCAGATTTACTTATTTAAATATCTAGTCGCTTTAATTTTCTAGGTATGACATTTCCTCAATTTTTAGAAGAGAAGTCAGGCCAAACTAGTGGTTGGCACAGGGAAGCAGATCCAGGGAAGGGTGTGGTTAAAGAACCCCTGTTCTCAACAAAAGATCTTCCCCTTTTATTAAAATATAGGGGAATTATATTATTTTGTATAAAAGAGGTTTTTGTTTGTTTTACTTTAGAAAAGAATTTAAAATCTGCTGATCTACATGATCTCTAAGATTACCTTTGTGTACAATCTCATAGATAGGAAGATCAGAGAGAAAAGAAATCATAAAATTACTACATTGTGCTATATCCTTAGAAGTGCCATACATATAGAAGTAATCTCTAGCAAAATGGATGAGAATAATGTCTGGTTACAGGGTGTCTACAAGAATCATAATGTAAAACACCACAATCTGATTACTTGATATCAGAGGATTGGGGGCTGAAGATGTAATCTTAACATTATTACAAACATTGTTGAGAGAAGAATATTTTAAGGATGTCATCAGCCACAATCTCATGGAGACAATCAATTGAAATCAACTCTATGTCATAATACTCACTGACAGAGCCAACAGTAATGTTCTAACAACACACAAGGAATGTCTCTTCAGTGTCTCTATACCACTCTATAAGGGCTTTAAGAGCAAATAGACACTGGAAGCTTCAAAAGTCTTAAAAGTTATCATAAGGAGGGAGTTAAAATTACATAACCTGGAACTGTAATTTCAGGGAATGAAGACAATGAACATGTTTAGATAAATTTTGAAAACTTGGCCATAAAAATGTGTTCATTTGCAAGTGTCAGTGACTTCTGAAGCTCTCTGGGGAAAATAAACTTAGAGCATCACTATACAGAGAGTTCCTGTTTGTAATTTTCCTGAGTGCTTGTGAATGTACCTACAACTGTAAATATATTTGAGCAGCAGATGCAGACATAATTTCTTAGACAAGAAATCAAAAATATGTATTGGCATAGGCTTACAATTTAGGTATCGAAAGATCAATTCTTTGCAATCTATTTGCAGGAAAAGGAGAAGAGATAGCAACTTAGAAGACAATCACCACTGCTCCCATTTCAAAAGGACTAAGAGAAACTTTCTCTTTCAGGATTTTCAGAATACAGAGGTAGGAAATATAGTCAGATAACCTCTCTCTATTTCATTCATTTCCTAAACTAAATGATTCAGTTTGATCTCTGTAATGAGAAGAATATTATTCCAAGAAACTATTTAAAAAATAGTGTTCCTTGAATTCAGAGACTTCTGAGCCCCAGACTTTCAGCATGATTATCAGTATCCTACAGGACTATGGAAAGGAAAAACAGAGTTTGTTAAAACACAATCAGTAGGAATTAGGTCCTAGATATTTATTCCACATATATAAACAAGAAATAATAATTTTACTGCTCTTATTTTTAGATGGAAAATACATTTTCAAGCAAAACATATGTTATTAAATAGAAGTCAATTCTTGATTTCTCCTTGGAAAAAGTGAAAATACAGTTGAAGGATGGTTTTAGTGATTTTGTAAAACTTGAACAGTGCTGGAATTGAAGAGTTTGAATTTTAATTTGTCCCACTAACCTGCTAAGGTGCTCATTCCACTTTCAAGCTAACCTTGTGTCTCTTCTTTCACCTTTATTCCAAGCTGAAATCTGCATTCACTTCCTCTTATTTCACTGTCTTCTCAATGTTGATCTGAGCTGGTCTCTGAATCGCAAATAGCTGTCCCTGCAGACTTCTTAGCATGGCATCCAAGGACCCTGATGACCTAGCCATATCTTCTTCTTGCATATTTTGTCTCCCAGTCTCTCTTCTCTGGAAGGCACTGGCCACAACATGGTATTAACTTTGTCTCCTCAAGGACTGTTCACCCAACTTGTGGTCTTCTTCTTCTCCCCATTGGTCACACTCTGCCTATTAATATTCTCTCCACCCTGCAAGGCCTAGTTCATGTGCCTTTCATTTTAAGAAACCTCCCCTTTCTCTAGTCAGCATTCTTTGCTGCATTCCCCTCATTGGAAATAAACACAGTGCTGTCGTTTTTTAAGCATTCTCCTTGATTTGGCTCAGGAACTACCTATTGAATCCCTACATAGTCCTGGCAAAGTTCATCCTTGCACATAGATATGCAAGTACCTGTTCAGACAATGGTTGGAGTCAGAACAAATTTTACCTACTCAAGAGCCTTTCAGAAGTGGGGCCCTGACACGTAACTGTGAGTCCAACTGACAAAAAGCCCCACATGTGATTCTGCTACTTATCCCAAATAGAATATGGCAAATCTCTGCTGGACTCAAAGCATCTCTGCTGATGGGGTAAACATGGAGATTTCATTACGGCCCAAATACACCTAAAATCCCGACTTTGCACACAGACCTGGGCCCCAGGATTTCTGTGATGTGCCTTTGTGAATTTTGCTTGTTGAGCTATCCTTCAGAGTCTTCACGGATGTGATAATATTTTGCCACATACATGAATTTATGAGGACTTCTATACTATATTTGCCTGGCACAGAGATAAGCATTAAGTGTATATTTAAAATCAGAGAAAAAAGCAGTGATCTTTGTAGCTGTCCAGTCGGATAGGCATTCTGATGAGAAGTTTCTATGAGCACTTAAGAGAAGTATGAGAAGGATTCCTATTTTATGAGTCTTTCTCCATCATGAAGCCTTTAGTGTCTCATTCATCCTGGTTAAAAAAATGTTTCCTTTCTTAAATCAAGCTTAGCAAGGTTAAATGATTCTTAATAAAGACTGAAGTTGTGACAGTTAAAACCATATACTGTTAAGGAGCAAAAATTTTCTTCCAGTGAATCTGAGAATAAAACAATTCATGCAGCTGGATATCTCTCAGGAAGAACATTCACAAAGGTGAAGTGCAACAAAGCACAGATGATCTGGTATGGGCTATGTTTATTACATAGATTGCACTCTTGGACTAGGTGATGTTATTGTATATGAGCTTTAGACGTTCTTTAGTAGTTTAAAGAAGAATAAACCTTCTTCCTAAAAATTCCATTTATAGCATAACAGTTCATTATAACTCTTGGCATGGATTTCAGAAGTGACTGAATTCTAAAGCAGATTTTCCTTGGTTTTATAGTAGCATATTGTAGTTTACTTATGAATAAAATCTTATTATTCCCGAAAGTAATAGATTTGTTGTACATGAGTTAGAATGTGAAGATACCCCAAAAATAAAACTAAAGAGTATTTGAAATCTTTATCTGTATTGCTGTTTTTGACATTTATACATATTCATCATATTTTTTTGTTGTTTTGTGGTTTGAACTGCAGGGCCACTGAGTCACATCCCCAAGGCTTTTCATTATTATTATTATTATTATTATTATTATTATTATTATTATTATTATTTTAAATTTTGAGATAGGGTCTCACTACATTACTGAGGCTGGGTTTGAACTTGTGATACTCCTACCTCAGACTGAGCTTTTAGTATTTCAGGTATGAGCCACCATGCCCAATCAGCAGAAATGTTTTAAAACCACATGAGAAACTACATGTACTGATTTCCATCTTCCCAAGTGATGTTAGGGTCATCTTCCTGTATTAGCAAAATGCAACTAAACTATCATTTTTAATGGCTCTGAAGGTTTTATTGTGTGATAGTTACAGTACACTTTGACTACTGTGCTGTTTTTAAATCTTTAGTTGATTCTTATTTTCAGTTATTAGAATTTTTTTGATGTGGACTGGGGATGTAGCTCAGTGTTAGAGCATTTACCCAGCAGCACACAATGAACAGTTTTAGTTGTGTCTCTACACAAATAAAGTAAAAATAAAACTATTTAAATTGCACAGATATTGGATAGATCCAGTTTTTCTTCACAATGATTCTAAAGGATTCCATTATCCCTATGAATTTAAGTGTATTATTCCGTTTCTCACCATAGCATCATCCTAATGACACTGTAAAGTGGATGTGTTTGTAATGTTAGATAAATATTGGATTCACTGGAAATGATTTGTCATTATTATTTTTCAGACAGTACTTGAAAGCAAAAGCAGTGCAGAAAGCCAACTGAGAGGAAACCAGATGTATGCGGTGGGTTATTTATCCAATACATTAGTTACTTAATTTATGAAAATTCATAACTAAATCATATGACAATGGAGTTCCAGATTTTTACATTCAGGGCTAGCAAAATAATTGGTTAATTTTTTTGCAATTGTTTTGCTATCTAGTCCTCATGTCTATTTGATGGCCCTTGCTGATGACTTTTACACGTGGCTTCATTTGCTCCTCTTTTCCCTTTCATAGATAGTTCTTTTAACATAGGAATATAATTGCATGAAGAGCAATGTAGGTTGCCCACCAAATTTTCTGGGCAATGTAGTGTATAACTTTAGATCAGGATCTCTAGGGCTGGTGTTGTAGCTCAGTACAGTAGAGTGCTTGCTTAATATGTGTGGCACTGGGTTCAATTCTTGAAGCCTCATATAAATTAATTAATTAATTAAAGGTCCATTGACAACTATAAAAAAAATGTGTAGCTCTAAATGACCTGGCTCATGATGATTCTTGGTATAAGTCATATTACTGTTGCTTTTAGAAAAGATCGCCTTGTGAGAAATACAACACTAACACTGTGAAATGTTAACTCTAGATAAGGTGTCTTGCCATGAATTCCTCCTTTGAGAACCCTAACATTGTAAGGCAAGAAAATCTTGAATATGACTGGGTTCAGGGATCCCTGAGTGGCTTCTGTGAGATGATAAAGACTGTGAGTGATGTTATTTCAATGAAAAACAATATTTCTTTCTATTTATTTATTTATTTATTTTTGAGTAGCAGTTAAACCCAGGGTGCTGAACCAGTGTACCAAATTCCCAATCTTTTTATTTTTATTGTTTTATTTTGCGACAGTGTCTCATGAAGTTGCTAAGGGTCTTGATAAGTTGCTGAAGCTAGCTTTGAGCTTGCTATCCTCCTACCTCAGCCTTCCATGCTGCTTGGATTGCAGGCATGTGCCACCATGCCAAGTTATGAAAAACAATCTTAAGAGAAAAGAGACATACAAACTGGACCAAGTCCACAGATAGAAGACTGATGAATGCTGAGCATCACAAAGGCCAACTGTAAACCTAAATTTCATTTAAAAAAAAAACTATGTCCACTGCCTGTCAGCACACATGTGGACCTTGATTTGATAAAGGAGGACTGTATATGTTCACCATCAGGAGATTTGTACAGAATCATCACATATTTGCATGTATATATGGATGCATATATGTGAGTGAATATATGTATACAACAATTTATTTGCTTCATCTTAACTTATACCCACAGTCTGTCTTACTTTTTATGATCTTAATTTCTCATAAATTCTGTAATATCAATTGGTATTTCTCTTAGAGGAGGAGAAAGTACTTATCTGATGTTTGGAATGAGTGGTATAAGCAGGAGCTGAGGATATATGGAAGGATTTGGAATTAGAAGGCCTATGTTGTCCTCACCCTGACATTTCCTAGCTATGGGACTTGGGCAAATCAGGGATCTGTTTCCTCATCTGTAAAATAGTGGTTGTTAATCCTAGCTTCATTTATAGAGTTGATGTGAGGGTGGAATTAACTACCTTCAGGGACTTTACTTTCTAAACCTTTAAGTCTTGTATGGACTTTGATACTGCTACTCTCCAAACTGAATATGAAAAATGTGACTGTGGCATAATGGTAACCTATTTCTGCCTTTCTATCTGTAGTCTTCAAGCAGTGTTATTGAAAGGAACATCAGCAGCATTCATAGCCCAGTGAGAGCAGGTGGACCAGAAAGCAGCTTAAACCAGATTATTGCTGAATACAACCTGAACACCCGTCAGTTCTTCCATGAGGAAAATATGCTGTCCCAAGGTCATTACTGCCAAATCAATCAGATCTTGAAGGAGGCTCACTTCTACAGCTTACAGCAGCGAGGACAGCCTCCAACTTGGTGAAGTAGTAGTCCTTTGTTCCAACTTAAAACGTGTTTATAAAAGCAATCACATACACATGAAAAAGGTCTTGAGGTTTCTGTCTATATTTTAATGACAGGCTTATGGGCCATTGTTTATTTGCAATTTCGCTGCACTAGTGCAATTTCAAAAGGGCTTTAATAAAATGTTTGTTTTATTCTTTTCAAGTTTGGTGTCAAATTCACATGAAAGTAATAATATGAGGAATCTTGTGCAATTGAATACATTCTGTCTCCAAGTCAGACATGTGTCCAAATCTGTCAGTGAGACTCTTCGTGACAAATGTCTTTTGAGAGTATGATTTTTTTTTATTTTTTAAAATTCAGTAGCCCAGTAAAGTATACGTAGTTTTCATAATGAAAAATTGTGCTCTATATGTGTAATAAGAATTGTAATGCATTCTGCTGTCATGTATTAAAAAAAATAAAATCAATAAAAACTAATGAAAAATACCCCTAAGATGTAATTTAACATTACAAAAAACTTGACTCATCCTTGTGCTGAAATGGACTGACATGATGATCCTCATAAGTTAGATGTTGTACTGAAATTACTCTCTATGGGTAATGGCAAGAATTAAACCTAGTATAGACCATGAAAGTGAAAAGTTCTAATTGTCTCTATTCTTTCTAATTCCAAGGAGAGTGTTTCTAGTACACTCAGATACTCCCTGTGTCCTTAATCCTGCAGAACTTGTACCTCAGACTTGCTAGAAAAACTGGTCAAAGCTGTCATAGAGATCCCAGCACTTAATAATGTTTGGCTTAAACAAATTAGATTAATAGATCATGTGATCTTCTTTACAATTCCCCTCATTATAGCTAGCCTTCATATTGATGAATTATAAGCTATTTGAACTGCTATCTAATGGAACAAGAATTAAGAAACTGAGTGGGACAACTGTCCATTTTATGCTACAAGAGCCTTTTCATAGTGATTAGGGTACCAGTTGCCATCACTAAAATGGACACAAATAATGTGGCTTAGAAACAGTGCCCCAATGAGCTGAAGTGTCATTAAAAGAAACAGGCAGTATTCTTTATTTACAGAGGGATATGTCCCCATGTTTTGGTCGTTTTAAAGAACAAACAAGAAGCCATCTTGGGACTGCAGTTGGTGGAGCCTAGAGAAACTGGAACAGCTAGGTCTGTGTGGGCCTGTCTGAGCTTAGCAAACCTGTGGAAAGTCAGAAACTGGGAGTGTTTCCCCCAGGGGAACACAGGTTAGAGAGGCATGGTGAGAGCTGGGCTTTCCCAGTTCTGTGAGTCCTACTGCTTGTGGGGACTGATGGTCCAGCTATAGTGGGTCTGAAGGTTGGAAGAAGATGTGAGGGCATTTTGCTCTCAGCTCACCCTACCAGCATATCTGGCACCCACTGAATTCCTGGGGCCAACTCACTAGGTCACTGCACCAACCTAGTCCCCTACTCCTTCCCCAGTCTGGTATCTACCAGTCCCTGGGATCTGCCAGAGCAGAAGCCAGTCTGGCACTCAACAGTTCCCTTCAGTGACCCAGTCCCCAGTCTCCCAACCCCCTCCCTGGCCCAGCCACAACCCATCCTTCTGCGACTAGGTCCACAGTGTAGACACTGGCCCATAGCTCTGTATTTCAGGCCTCTGCTTCACTGCCAGACCCACCCAGGCTAGCATACAGCTTTGAATCTGGCCCACAGATTCTGGCACAGAACAGCTGGGACCAGTGTCCGGGCCCCTGCAAGCTGCTTTAGAGCCAGACTGGTCCAGTCTTGTATACAGCCTCCCACTAGATCCCAGGATCTAGCACATGGCCCTGATCTACTTACACCCAGAGGTGGCCAGCTGCTTTTCCACCTGCCTGCAACCCAGCTTCCCCAGAAGGCCACATTGCCTCCAGGCCCGCACCCCAGACCTGCCCACACTAATCTCCCAAGAAGGGAAATTAGGAAGTCTTAAACCCCAATCTTCAACACAGTGAACAACACAATTAAAAGGACACACAACCTATGTCTCATACTCACAAGCTTAGATCATATATCAAGAAGAAATGAAATGAAAACCAAGTGGGCACAGTCAGTGAACACTTACAATCACTGACAATTTTGTCCACACTAGTGGATAATACTCCTTAATTTCTTAACATTTATTGTGTTGTCATTGTTGTTGCTGTGGCTTGTTTGTTGTGGCAGTAGTTCTCTTTTGTTTTTTGATTTTGGGTATCCATATTGGATTTTTGTTTTATTTGAATGTGCACTGACTCAAGTATTCCCACACATATTCATATTTGTTTCTCTCTCCTCATTTCTAGCCTTGTTTTTCTTTTTTCTTTTTATTTTTCTTTCCTTCTTTTTTTGTTGTACTTTTTTTGGTTTTGTTTTGTTTCTGAAGGTGTTATTTCCCATTATTTGTATTTTGAGGGTTAGGGTTTATGATTAGCTTATTTTGATTTTGTTTCATATCATCTTTATCACTACTCTATCTCTCTTGTCTCCTTCTCATTTCTCTGTTCCTGACACCAAAATTCCATTCTCCCTCTCCTCATTTATATTCTATTTGTTTCCATCCTCTTTTTCTCTCTCTTTCTTTTTTTTTTTTTTTTGTACCAGGGATTGAACTCAGAGCCACTCAACCACTGAACCACATTCCCAGCTCTATTTTGTATTTTATTCAAAGACAAGGTCTCACTGAGTTGCTTAGTGCTTCACTTTTGCTGAGGCTGGCTTTGAACTCACAGTTCTCCTGCCTCAGGCTTCCAAGCCACTGGGATTATAGGTGTGCTCCACCGTGCCCAGCTCTATTTTTTCATCCCCTTTCAAACTAACAACATATCCTAAGTTACCACTGCATCTGCCCTATTCAGCCTTTTGAAATTGTGAACACCCTTGACACTTCTTAATACCAATTGAGGTATATAACATCTACCCCTACCACCAGTGTCACAGCAAAAATTAATATAGTAGAAGGCATAGACAACATCTATTGTTTGATTTTAAGCCAGATATAATACCTGATTATGTACTGTTTTTACTGATGGAGATTGCTGATCCCACTATCCCTACATATTGTACCAATTAATACTAAATATCAAAGTAGGAACTAAGTACATAGTATACTACTATCTATTGTTTGCATACATTTTTTTCTATCATTGGGCTCCCCTCCCCAATCTGTGAGGTACTAGTAACATAGAGTGACACTATTAACCCATAAGGTAGAAACTCTACAGCATCAGATCTATCCAGATAGATGGGTAGACACAAAAACAATATGAAAAAACAAGGGAAAAAACCCACCCCAAATGACCCAGACAACCTCAATAGTAGACTCTACTGACATCATAGTAGAGGAAATGTCAGAGACAGAATTCAGAAAACTCATGGTTAAACTGATATATGAGGTGAAAGATAATATAAGAAATGAAATCAGAGAGAAAATACACAAAGAGTTAGAGATCCTCAAGAAGGTCAGTTCATACTGCTTAAGGGACTTATACATCAATAAGACATAACAGTCATATATATTTATGCCCCAAACAGTGGACCACCTATGTACATCAAAGAAACCCTTCTCAGTTTCAATAATCAAATAGACAACACAATAATACTGGGTGAGTTTAACATGCCCCTCTTATCACTAGATAGATCCTCCAAACAAAAGCTAAATAAAGAATCTATAGAACTAATGAAAGCAATCAATAATTTAGACTTAATAGATATATATAGAATATTTCATCCATCAATGACTGAATACACATTCTTCTCAGCAGCACATTAGGTTGGCTAAGTGTTTATCAGTTTTATTCATTTTTTCAAAGAACCAGCTTTTTGTTTTATCTATGTTTATATATTTTAGAGAAGGATCCTTCTCTAAAACAGACCATATCTTAGTCCCCAAAGCAATAGTTAGCAAATACAAAAAAAGAGAGAAAATACCTTTCATTCTATGAGATAATAATGGAATGAAATTAGAAATCAATGATAAAATAAAAAATAGAAGCTACTTTAACACTCAACTAAATAATATGCTATTGAATGACCAATGGATAGTAGAAGAAATCAGGGATTTAATAAAAATACCTAGAGGTAAATGAGAATTTTGACACAACTTATCAAAATATCTGGGACACTAAGAAGGCAGTTCTAAGTTCATTACACTGAATGTATTCTTTAAAAGGATAGAAAGTCACCAAATAACCTAATATTATATCTCAAAGCCCTAGAAAAAGAACAAGTCAACACTAAAAGCTGTCAAAGACAGGGAATAGTTAAAATCAGAGCCAAAATCAATGAAGTCGAAAAATATATATATACATAGATAAAACAAAAAGCTGGTTCTTTGAAAAAATGAATAAAACTGATAAACACTTATCCAACCTAATGAAGAAAAAGAGAGAGAAAACTCAAATCACGAAAATTCGCAATGAAAAAGGAAATATCATCAGAGACTCTATTGAAATACAGACGATAATCAGAAACCATGTTGACAAACTATACTCCAGTAAAATGATGACATCAACAAATTCCTAGAAACATATGACTAACCCAAACTGAATCAGGAGTCCATACACAATTTAAACAGATCAATTTCAAGAAATGAAATTGAAGATGCCATCAAAAGCCTACCAAGAAAGAGAAGCCCAAGACTAGATGTTTTCTCAGCAGAGTTCTACCAGACCTTAAAAGAAGAATGTACACAAATATTTCTCAAATTATTCCATAAAATACAAAAGGAGAGAAACGTACCAAACTCATTCTATGATGCTAGTATCACACTGATACCAAAACCAGACAAAGACATATTGAAGAAAGAAAACTTCAGACCAATATCCCTCATGAACATAGATGCAAAAATCCTTTAAAGAGTCCTGGAAAATTGCATAGAAAAACATATTTAAAAGTAGGGTTCATTCCACAGATACAAGTTTGGTTCAACATACAGAAATCAATTAACATCAATAGAATTAAAGACAAGAATTATATGATCATCTCAATAAATGCAGAAAAAGCATTTAACAAACCACAGCATCAGTTCATGTTCAAAATACTAAAAAACTAAGAAATAGTAGGATCATACCTCAAGATTGTAAAAGGTATATATGCTCAACCCCAGGCCAACATCATTCTAAATGGGGGGAAATTAGAAGCATTCCCTCTAAAAACTGGAACAAGACAAGGATGCCCTATTCACCACTTCTATTCAACATCGTCCTTTAAACTCTAACCAGAGCAATTAGACAAAAGAAAGAAATAATTATATATTTAGAAGACACATAAAACTCCATTAAAAAGATTCTTGAACTCATAAATTAATTCAGCAAAATAGCAGGGTATAAAATTAACACCCGTAAGTCAATTGTGTTTCTATCCACCAATGATGAATCAGCTGAAAGAGAAACCAGGGAAATTA